TTGTTAGTCTCATCAGAGAAGACATAACATTGAAGGTTCTGTCAAACGGAGGCAGACAATCTGCTCGGATGGAATAGTAGCAGTCAAACAGAACCCGAACGACTGGAGTTTAACCAGGAATAAAAACAGACGCCATCAAGACTATCTTGAATTCGTGTTTTTTGTTCTCTTTTGTTTAGAAGTTCGATCGGTGAAATCATTGTGAAACATGATAATAATAACGACAATTCAATAAAACATGTTGTCCTAAGTTTTTCTCTTTTTTTGTACATGAAATATTTTTAATTTAAATTCATATTTGAATTTTAAATAGTGTCTAAGTTAGTGACAACAGGACCAGTTTACATTTTACCTGGGTATTCACAGAACCCTTATAAACTGGAAAGAAATGTTGTATGGCGATTGTGCTCACATTTAATGATAGGGCTTTCCATATTCTGTGTTATATTCAGTTTCTAGTTATTCACCTCCGCTAAAATAATATTCACCAATTTACCTGTTGGTAGATATAGTTGCATTAAGAATCAGACATTCACATTTCATCTTTCAATCAAGTAAGTTTTGCATCCAGTAACCATCCAAAAATAGTTTCCATTGTCGGAAGAATTTTGATAGTTTTAATTTAGGCGTTGAAATTTAGTTTTATTGATTAGAATAGAAGTTCGAGTAAATGTTTTAAAATAAACAGTGAATTTTTATTCTTCATCGAAATCACGATTCAATTTAACTAGTTGCATAAAATTAATTTGGCGTGCAACGTACAACGTTTGTACAAAACACTTAATTGGCTATGTTTCCACTAACTTTACTTAAAAGTTTTCTGTTTTCGTTTTGAGTTCAACTTGTCGAGTAGTTTCTTTGAAGAAGTGGTATTACTTCTAATCCTCGCTTTGAGTTAAGGAAAAAAAATATATAAAATAATCGAACAAAGACAGTTTGGAGAGCTTTATCGATTATTCTGAATGTTGAATTCATTTAATGATTGGTTTTTCACACGAACAATTTGACATTAATTATTTTGTTTCGTCAGCACGAAGTTTGTAAAAAACCCGCAAATACTGCTCTGCTCGTTACGAGTTACACGCTTTCCATTTAACCACAATGATACACTTTTATATTGAGTAAAAAGTCCGTAGCATACTGGCGGCTGGGTCTGCGCGGTCAGTCTGTTTTCTGAAAAAAAATTGTATCTAGTAACTTTCCGTTTCAGTTTCGTACAAATAGCAAAACAAAGCAGAGAAACATATCTTTTCTGATATATCTCAGAGTTTTCGTGAAACTTTTTTGTCTCCGTCAGCAGTTCCGTCTGGCCGGTAGAAATACAGTTTGAAAATCAGAAAGCCATATTTCATCTGAAGCACATTACGAGGCACTGTTTTATATTAGATAGATACTCTACCTCCTTGCAATAATTGGCTGAAATTAGATCTATTTTTTTCATCGACGCTCCTCAGAGCACGAGACATAAACAAGTGAAGATTTATTACTAACATCTTTTGAGCAAATTAGGTAAATGATCCGCCAGAAACACCGAGTATGTTGATGTTGACCGATCAATTTTCTTGTTATTCCTGATTAATAATAAATACCGTCATCTTTTTTAATATGATCGCGTTACGTGGGGGTAGACTGTGACGTAATAGCCAAATGGTATAAAAACAACGTAGGCCAACAAAATCTTCAGAAACCTGCTATGCGCATGCGTTCCTTTTTTAAACAACTAGTCGTGTTCGTTACATTGTCTTAATTTCTTCATTGCGCATGTGCAAAATCGTGGACATGCGCACAAAAAAAATGTAACGAACACTACTGATTTTTAAAAAATACGCATGCGCGAGTGGTACTAGAAAGAACAAACGAACATACTTTTGGTTTACATTTTGTTGATATGCACCTTCCTTAATAACGACACCACATTAATAATATTATTTTTGTTGTTGTTGAAGATATCAAAAACACTTTTTGAGAAAATTAAACTATAATAAATACTCCAATTCAGATTGAGATACTTTATTATGTGTTTATGGAGAATCATGTGGATGAAGATTTAATAAATTTATAGGCATGTATCTTATGCTTCCATAACATATTATTTCAATTGATAAAAAAAAAAAGAAAGCAAAAAATGCAACATCAATATCATTATTTTCATCTCCACTATGTAAAACGTTTACAAGTGGTATACGATGCTTGGAAAGAACCCAATTCCGTCAAATCTTTATACGCTTAGCCTTCTGTCATTTTCTTAGCATAGAAAAACGAAGACGAGATTCTTATTAAAATTTGCGGTAGCTGTCAATTTTCCACGGCTTTTTTTATGCCAAAGTTGATGAAAATATTTTAGATAAAAATCCAAATTTATTCAAAAATTTACAAATTAAGCAATATAAAACATCCACATGTATCGAAAGAGGGTAAAAAGGGTAATCGAATGGCAAAATAAAATATGGTAGGTCCCATTTGAAAAAAACGAAGTTATTCGTGTTTGAAGTTTCTAAACTTTTAATGTTCTTGTGAACGCCCAGTATAAATTATGAAGGTCAATTATGATTAACATTATCAATAAGACACGACTATGACTTGTATAAATTTCAACACTAAGTCATTTTTTGTGGAAGTTATGATGTTTTATAGTATGGGTTGCGGTAGCGATTTTTTTTTTCTATAAATTATGTTATCTCAGAAATTATTCATCGTAGGCATACAAGTTGGTTATCAAAATTACCTTAAAATTTTGTGTTTCATACAAATTCGTCGTAAAAAATATACTATTCCATTTAAAATAATAAAGTTTGCACCAACTTCTAGTATAACCGGAAACGGTCGACAGGTGAAATTATTTCAGTTAAAAAGATCATTCTCGATAACCCCTACTGCCAAATTTTCAGATCTCTAATACGCTTAATTTCCCTAAAGCGTCTAATGCACCACTCACTTTGAAGAACCCTGTATAAGAGTAATTAACGAAGAAATCAGCTAAAAGGTGAATAATTTACGATGTTTCCTTTACCATTGAATAAGAATTTGTCGTTAAAATTTACTCCAACATATCAAGATTTTAAAATATCTTAACCTCAAGATCCAAATGAAGCTAATTTGGCTTGTTTTGCTTTGAGATTAGGATCTCTCGATATTTTAAAGTACTGCAGTAATACAGGAGCAAAACTCCAGTTCGTCTTCTTGATGTTTTTTTTTATTCAACACACTATTGCTCTTTTTTCGATATCTCTCTCTTTTCCGAGAACACTGCTACGTAGGGTTGAGGAAAGGGAACAGAAAATAAGGTACCTAATTATTTTTAATGTATTTATATTTCGACGTCGCACTTGACTCTCGCTTCAGAAAAGCTGTATTAGAGTACTTAATATTCCAGATATTCTAATCTCAAAACCAAGCAAGACGAATTAGCATAATTTGGATTTTAGGATTTAGATATTCCATCTTAGGTCAAATTTAAATTAAGCGACAAAAAATGCATAGGAAATGACCGATTTCTTGGGTGTTGTATCCTATTCTCCTCCGAAAAGATGAAAACTTTCTTTTGGGTTTTCTACAGAAGTGACATCTCGGGTCTTAGTTTCCTGCTTCAAAACCGGATTAAAATATACTAAGGATACCAAAAGTATTTATTATATGGACAGTAACGCTGAGTGCAATCTAAATTCAAAAACTGCAATTTCAACCCACGACAGTATACCGCACACCATACTTGACCTACACATTAAATTTCATCACGCTAACACACTGTTCACGCCCTGTAAACGTATATTTCATGTCACAACACCCTGTAGATGTCTTTATGTCCTAGGTTACTTTAAACCCATTTATTGTCACTTGCTAAAGTTATACACCGAACGGCATGACCATAAATGTAATAGCAGGAAGTCATCCGAAGGCAAGTGGTTGTGCCCCTTTTTGTAGATATTTCTATTTAGGTACCTAGATTTAAGTTCTGTAGGCATTCGAAGAGTGTGATCTGACACCCCGACACGACAACCTCCAATTCTCTGTAGTCCAGTGTAGTTTTCGTTAATAAAGTAATTGTTTGTTAAGTTCACCCTGCCGACTTTTATTCCGACAATCATCAACGCAAAAACACACACGAAGAGTATGAAGAGACAAGAAAATCTACATTTAAAGAAATTTTAATTTATTATCATCCTATATGGTGTATAATTGCAATAATAATAATAATTATTATTATTATCAGGTGTAATTGAATTACAGATATCGCGGTTACAAACTATTTCAATAATTACATCGCAGTTTACATCAAATCTTTTATCCCTGTCATGAGAGTTGGATTCGGAATCCACTCTATGACGGAGGTAAAAGTTAAATATCTTAGAATCTAAAATTACATATTCGCAATATCTTCGCTAAAGGCACTAATGCCCGTGCGCGACCCTGTACATATAATTATATGGATATCTGTAATTCAATTACACCTGATTATAATTATTACTAATTTTATAGATTTAAGTTTACCAATACTGTGTAAAGTAGTTTGGGCCTTCTTTACAATACTGGACCTTTTCTGTCTGTTAATATATATACACTTTCTTTTTGTAAGTAGTTCAATAAATAAATAAACAGAATAATTAAAAGCTCAACACAGCTTGACCAAGGACGAGTTTATCGAAAAGGTTTTCAGTATAGAACGTTGTGACTTTGCCTTGCATTTGAAGGGCTGTGTGAAAAGATTTTGATTAGATTTAAACATCTTGGTTCACGATTTTAATTTTTTGTAAATGGGCAGTTTTAGTACACCTTCAAATAAAGAGCCTGGTTTAAAAACCTGTTTAACATTCCTTTCTATTTTTCTATTTAGTTTAAACTGAAACAGTACTTTTTTTATTAAATCTTTATACCTATCAATGTTGAGATTATTCAGAATACTGTCATCCTACTATGTATCCCATAGATAACACAATTCGAACATATTCGCACGGGCGCATCTATTGTCAACATTATAAAACAAAAATGAGAAAATTTCATACCTGATCCTTGAAGAGTACCAGTACCAGCGGTTCCAAGAAGCACATCGATGCTTCCGTCCGAAAGGATGTCAGAGTCCTGGTAGGATATGGAAAAGGTGGCGTCGTCCTGTAGACGGGCAAGCATCGCCGCCAAACTGGATCTGTCCAGGTCATCTGACTCCCGCAACTGGAGCGTTACGTTACCATCAGTTGCAGTACTATACATGAATACCGCATGACCTCCTGAATAAGGCTGCAAGGGTAGACGGACTCCTGCTAGCTCGTGAACACTCTGCAACAAATTAAAACGTTATTTTACTTGTTAATCGTTTTAAGTCTAATAAATATCGCTCTACGATTGTTTCATTGTGTCTTATTCTCATCAGCTGATAAAGACGGATGAGATTTTCTATTGATCTAGTAACGGGTAGGATGGATGAATTTTCATCCTCGTTTAGGAATCCCAGGAATAGGTAGGAAAATATATACGGGGCTGATGAGATAAAGGTAGTGGAAGATAGTGAAAGACTGATATGGAATGTTACTGCAGTAAAATTTTTTTACAGGATTTAAGGAAACCACAAAAAAAAACATTTACCAAAGTAGGTAAATTGGGAATCCTTAACTTAACCTAAATTACATTTGTGAATAGGTACAATTTCTAACTATTTATATCGTATACACAACTGTTGAGTGAATGCAAGTTAAACTGTAGAGGTGAATTCGGAAGCCTGTGTAGTAACTCTTATCTATGGTAAGTGACTGTAAAATTCCCATGGGTTATATCATCATCATCATAAGGTCATCAGTCCTAAGACTGGTTGGACACGCACCTCCACTCCTTCCTATCCTGAGCCTATTTCTTGTTGACTTCCATAGAGTTCTCTGTTCATTTACTTTTTCTAATACCTCTTCATTTCTAACCTTCTCTATCCACGCTATCCTCATCATTCGCCTGTAACACCACATTACGAACGCTTCTAACTTTTTCTTTTCCGCCGCGCCCACTGTCCATGTTTTAACAATCTCTTTCGAATTTCTAAATTAACTGTTAGCGGGCATAGAAGCAAAGAGCTTCTTTTTATTGAAGGCGACTTGACCCTGCGATATCCTGTACTTTATGTCCCTACTACTTCTTCCGTTCTGACTTATCTGACCTCCTAGATATCTAAAATCGGCCACTTTTTCTAATTTTTCGTCTCCTATCTTAAGAAAATTTACATTTTCGAAAAAGCCCTGATACAAAACTTTTACCCTTCATCGCTTTAGTCAGTAATTTGTCGAGACTTCCTATGCTGAGGAGATCTAATAAAATTGTTATTGCGATCCGTATCTGGTAGTTTTAACAAATTCCTTTCCATAAAATTGACAACCGTTCTTACTAAAATGTATTAATGCATTAATTTTGGGTATCTACGTTACACTTCAACTTCAAATATTTGCGTATCATCAACTGTTTTTCACGAGCCGCCACTGTTTTAGTATCTAAGAATTATATAGTTGGGACATTCAAAATTAACAGTGATCTCTCGTTGCTTAGTGGACAGCGCATTGGCTGTAAAGCTGATGGTCCGTGGTTCGATTCTCGGCGAGGGTGTGACAAGATCAATAATTTTAATTTATAGTGGATAAAAATTAAGAATGAGTTTTCACATCAATAACTAACTAAGAATAACAGTCGTCTAACATTCAAAATTGACAGTTGCTGACAGAACGCATACTTTTACACAAGACAGACTTTGTAGGGAATATCGTAAACATAGGAACGAGATGTCAGGTAGGAATTGCAGCGGACACTAATAAAGAAAAAGGAATAACATTACACCAATTGAGCAACCTCTAACCGCTGCACCGCTTACTATTATACGGTTATCTCTTTCCACTTTGTCTGTACTACTCATGAAACATTTCTTAACTTAACAAGGGCGTGTTGAAAACGTAGCAAATGACTGCAGTCCAATGTAGAAACAAGAAAGAATATACGTTCATTCTCACAGATAAGACAGGTCTACTATAAAGAAGTTTTTTGTATAAATTCATGTTGGTCTATATTTTGTAAATATAAACTTTATTTTAACGTATCACGTCACATTTTTTTTGTATATAGGTAAATATATAATAGCTTTTTGAATCGGTAAATTTATTTGTTTTTTCACAAAATTCATTTTATAGTTTATATTTCTATTTAATACTCTCTGACTGAGCATTATATTGTCTTTTACTTTATTTTAGATAGTCTGAAAGTAACTATAGTCGTTTACACCGCCTGAAAAAAAAATAGTTTATAT